CATACACAATCACACTCACAATAACACACACACGATAGTGAATCAGGAATATATATAAATATATAAATATATATATATATATATATATATATATATATATATATTAATTGTACCCCATACCACAATTAAACCACGTAAAATACCTGTTGGCAGCCTAACGACCTCCTTAGGCTTGCGAACTACCACTCGAGTGAGCCGCGAAGAAAGCGGCGGCGGCGAGGTGAGAGTCAGCGCAGAGTCAATAGCAGGGATGGATTTGCCCGAAAAATCAGCTGTTCTGCGTAAACAGACGACACGCCCACCTAGTCACGTGACCATACGAAAGAAATTTCGGAATGCTTTTTTCTTGCATTTCTATCCTTTAATGATAACATTGGATATTTTTAATGTTATCTTTGTATTTTTTCCTTTCTGTATAAATACTTGAAGCAAACATTAACACGTTTTGGATTGTATTATTGCCATTTGAATGTCAGTTTTATGTGGCATACCCTACCCAGCGTTCCGAAAGGCGGGATACTTCAGTTGCATGCCAGCTGACAGGCAGTTAACACCTGAGACCTGCATACTCTTTCATGGAATCATTTAGTATTTCTCAAACTGTATTTGCTTATCCTCAAAAAGTTTATACATTTTCCTATATCACGTTCTCTTTATATGGGTGTTTTATGGTAGACTTAAAGTTATTGAGATATCCCATTAACGACCATTCCAATAAAACCGTACTTTTTTGTCCATGATAATAGTATTGATGAAGAGATAATACATTTAATAAGTATGTGTAATAAAACTAGTATTCTGACTATGCTTCTGATATTTCCCTTGGAGAGTTTAGGTTTACATGTTTTATATAAATCATATGGCAATAAGAGAAATAAGTAAGACATATTATGCTATGATAACGCCTTTATGCTTATTTTGCTTATATTTCCAGATCATGCCGCGGCACCGTTTCCAGGAGAGTTGGCTTTCCAATGCCCTCTTCAAGACTTGGCTGGTAAGAGTGTCAGACGACGCCACCAGGGCATACTGCCAGGTAAAACATACTTATACACTGTAACTTACACAGCAAATAGTTTTCTTCCACATGCAATCGTTGTTGAAGAACACACGTGTGGAATTCATGTTGAACAGATTGCAAAGGGAACGACGAAGGGAAGGGCAAGAAAACACACGAATATGCCGAAGGCCTTTTCACTATTGCTTCGTCAGGGCATATGCTACATGAGGTACATAGAGGAGTATATATACAACTACTGGGTGATCAGGTCACGTTGGTAATCAGGTGTCCAGGAAAGGGAGTTGTTCATCCCTCTCTTCTTCTGTGGTGAATTGGATGGAGGGGTGCACTGTATCGAGTCTGTGGAGGAGATCAGGCAGGTTCGTCCTACTTACAGAAAAGCCAAAACAGGGAATGCGGAGGAAAGATCCCTTGAATTCAACAGAGCAGCAAGGAAGGTCCTGAGAGGTTCAAAGAAGGGAAAGTCCATGCTCCACCTACTCGAGGAGACGCCACGCGTACCAACGATCCATGGGAGCATCAAGACCCACAAGGAAGGTAACCCTGTGAGACTCAATGCAGTGCACCCCTCCATCCAATTCACCACAGAAGAAGAGAGGGATGAACAACTCCCTTTCCTGGACACCATGATCCACAGGAGACCTAATGGACCGGTATTTTCAGTATACAGAAAACCCACAAATAAAGATGATTTCATTCACTATTTTTCTGCCCATAGTACGAGATCCAAAGAAGGCGTGGTCATTGGTTTCTTCCTCCGGGCCCTCAGAATATGCAGCCCTAAGTTCTTGGAGGATGAGATGAAACACGTCTACAACACCTTCCAACACCTCCACTATCCCCGCTCCATGCTCACCCACCTCCGACGCAAGGCCGAGAAGATCATGAGCAGGCCGAGAGGTGAGGACACACAAAGTAGAACTCAGAGGATAATCATCCCCCACTCGGAATTGACTGAGCACCTGCAGGCCCTGGTGGGCCATACTCTCAAGATAGCTACGTCTTCAGGCAAGAAGATCGGAGACATCGTGAGAGAGAAGAGATCAAACCATAACAGACCCCTCAGCCAGGTGTACAGCATACCTTGTGGGGGCTGTGATAAGGTATACGTAGGCGAGACATCACGAGGACTGCACGAACAACGTATCAGTCAACACCGCAGCGCTCTCCGACGCCATGACACGAGAAGCGCTTTCGTTGTTCACGCAGACACCGATGGTCACCTCCCGAAGTGGTCCCAGGCCTCCATCATAAAACAAGGCCTGGCCCCACGACAAAGGAAGATGGTAGAAGCGGCGTTCATTCATACAACTAACAACATCAACACCGCTACGGGGAGCCATGAACTAGCCAAGGTCGTCGCTCACCTGATTACCGACGTGACCTGATCACCCAGTAGTTGTATATATACTCCTCTATGTACCTCATGTAGCATATGCCCTGACGAAGCAATAGTGAAAAGGCCTTCGGCATATTCGTGTGTTTTCTTGCCCTTCCCTTCGTCGTTCCCTTTGCATTCCACATGCAAACACACATGTACACGCACAAACGTGCATACACACACACGCACACACACACGTACACACACACACACACGTACGTACACACACGTACACACACACTCGCACGCACGCACATGCATATGCACATGCGCATACACGTGAATACATACATATATGGGAACATGCACATGTACCAAAACAATCTTTTAATTTAAGGGGACCTTCTGGTGATTTTTCGGCGATTTTCGCCCCTCTTGCCGAAATTGACTTTAATGCATTTTCAAGGAGTTTCTAGGCCCCCGGTTCTCCCCTGAAAATTTCAAGGCCCGACCGTTATTTTTTAGGTGGTAGCAGCGATTTTCGATGTCGACCGAAATATTATTTTTTGATGTTACCTTAGAAAATCGGCAATTGTGACGCAATGATTAGAGATAATAAAAATAAAGCTTATCAAATTTCACATAAGGTGAGACCAACCTTCTTTTTTCGAAATAATTTTAAAAATCCGGCAAGCGTCCAAAAAACGACAATGAAGACATTTTCCATACAAATAACTAAACATGACATGTTATTCATATGGTGTATTATCTTTTCATTATGTTTCCATCATACATAGTTACTTTGATTTATGAGCAAAACATTTCGAAAATGCAAACCTCCCCCCCCCCACCCATGGGGGTAGTTTTGCCAAATATTCCGGATCACCACCAAAATTTTATGGAATATTAATGAGGCTAAGACAAACCTCAAGTTAAAATTTTACTCAAATCTGTTCATAACTTTTCGAGTTAGAAAAAAAAAATCCTGGATCCAAACCATGGTCCGCATCACCACCAAACTGCAATAAGCGTCTAAGTTAGGTTAAAACTCACTTTTGGTTAAAATCTCGTTAAAATGTGTTCATAACTTTTAGAAATACTAGAAAACAAACTAACAAAAAAAACAAATAAACAATCAACAAACAAAGAAACAAACGGAAGTAACAATATAAATAAACAAAAGGTCATGGGGTACACGAAAATTATCTATATGTGCTCATTTACCTTATATACATACTTTCACATCGCCATGTAATTGTTTTTCGTCTTTCCACGGGGTCTGAGAGTGAAATTTGGCTACGTGACCCCGTAGAGTTATTCCGCAGATTTAAAAAGACGATTTTCATGGTCTAGGACGGCCCGGCCGCGCGGGGATAAGTATGCGTTTGGTACCCGTCCGACTGGAGGAAAGTTATTCTTTCGACAAATATTATACGTTGTAAAACCCCATTAGTGCATCAATAATAGGTAAATGATAGATAATTATATCAAATACAAGTATTCTGTACATGATTTGTCATGTAAAATGTAAACATAATAAAAAGGAGTAAGATCGCGATTATTAGGTCCGTCATATTTTTACGCACAGCACACGTATATTCGGTCCGATTTTAAAGTATTATGGCTCATTTTGTAGCTGAATAATAGTTCTATTACATACTGCCATGAGGATTTGCAATATTTTCACTTGGTTCTTGTAAAAGTGTCATATGTTTTCAAAATCTCCTATTAGGGTGTTAAAATAGTCACCGGAAAATATTCACCAAGAAAAAAGTAAGGTCAGCTTTTCAAAAATGGCATATAATAGTAGATAGTTCTATTGAAACATGAAATCAGAATGGCTGTATGATTTTTTTTTTTTTGAGAAAAAAAAAAAAAAAAAAAAAAAAAAAAGCAGACGGTCCCCTTTAGTCTTTGTTTCTTCCATTAGGAATGCCATAAGCACTTGATGGCCGATATCTCCGACCTCAAGTACCATAGGACGTCGAGGCAGAATGTGTTCCTTTTAATTTAAGTCTTTGTTTCTTCCATTAGGAATGCCATAAGCACTTGATGGCCGATATCACCGGCCTCAAGTACCATAGGACGTCGAGGCAGAATGTGTCCCTGGAGGAGAGGCAGCGAGCAACCAGCCGCAGGCAAGAGAGTGCCACCCCCGGGGAGCACCCTGGCGCGGCTGAAGAGCAAAGGGGTGTTCCTAGTGCTGTGCAGCATGCTACGCTGCTCTTCATTTTGTTTTTAGCGGAGCACAACTTGCCGTTCAGGTAATATATACTCCAAATTAAAGTGTGCAATTCACTGATAGTAAAGAGTATATATATAAAGTGGAGAAATTTAATATTTCAAATACGTTTACCATAAAATATAAATATTTGGTACATACTGATTATTCTGTTTAAATGTTTATTTTTCAGTCTTTTCAGTCTTTGCGATGACCTGGAGCTGAATCGGAAAATGTTCCCTGTTTCTATCATCTCAGTCCAGATGGCCCTCAAAAGAAAGAAATGTTCGCAGCAAACAAAAGTTTTGGGGGAATTTCTTGCCAAGCAATTGGCAATTGGCCTGATCATAGATGAGACGACCGACTGCACAGCTGATAAAGCATGTGCCTTAATTGTCATGTATTTTGACTAAGAGACCAAAACAATTAAGAGGTCCATGCTAGACATCAGCTTGTATGAGGAGAATGATGGATCGTCAGGCGTGTCTGTACTTAACCACATTACAAAAACCCTTAATACCTACCAGATCCCTCTCACGAATATGGTTGGCTTTGCTGCTGATGGGCCATCAAATATCATGGGTGCTGTAAATTCTGTGAGCAGCAGACTAAAAGCGCACATGCCTGGCATCACCATTTTTAAGTGTGTGGCTCACAGCATACACTTGTGTAGCAGCGAAGCAGCGAAAACGCTTCTAAGGACCTGCGAAGAACTGGTCCAAAATGTGTAAACCTTTTTCTGCCATAGCGCAAAGAGGAAATATGAATTTAAAGAATATCAGGTATTTTGTGGGGTCAAGCCTCACAAAATATTGCATCCATGTGCAACAAGGTGGCTTTCCATAGCACAAGCTGTAGAACGATTACTAGAACAGTGGCAGCCACTAAAGCTCTATTTTAATGGTATAAGGCTTGATGAAAAATTGTCATCAATTGACAGAATTTGTGAGGCCATGGATAATCAAGCCATTTATTGCTACCTAAAAATTTTAAATTACATGTTGCCACATCTGAACAGAGTAAATTTGGTGTTTCAGGCCAAAGGACCTACACTACACGGCCCATGATATTCTTACAAATTTATATCTAAAGTTGTTGAATTATTTCTGCCAGCCAACAGCACTACAGAAAATGAAACTAAATGAAATAGACCCTGCAGACCAAACAATCCATCTACCAATAAATCAAATTTACCTAGGGGAAAATATATACAGCCTGTTTCAAACACCAAACTATAAAAACCACAAGTTGGTTACGGAAATTAAAACCTGTATAACCTTCCTAATAACCGTGTGCCAGCAAATAAGAAAACGGTTTGACTTAAACAATTCGCTATGGATAATGGCTACACACTTACAGCCAAAGAACATCATGGATCCAAATCTAAGACCGACAGTTCCATCTTTGACCCAACTGGCCAATGAAGTCCCAAGAATAAACAATTATGATATGCAGGTACTGGCTGACCAGTGGCGAGATGTTGCCTAGGAGACCTTCACAGAGCATTATAGGAGTCCTCAGTGTGAGGTTGAAGAATTTTATACATGTGTTTTAACTCTCATGGATACTATGGGCAAACCAAAGTACGAATGCCTGGCGCATTTTGCGCTTGAAATTCTAGTGATCCCAACATCGAACACAAATGTAGGAAGACTATTCTCTAACTTTTATCAAATAAAAAGAAAAGAAAGGTCAGACCTCAAGTTGGAGACCATAACTTCTCTTATTCATTTAAGGGGACTGTCTGCTTTTTTTTTTTTTTTTCGATTTTCCTTGCCGATTTATATAAAACATTGACCACTTTTATAAGAAGTACAGGCAAAAATTGCGAAAACGCTCTCGAACAAGTTGTAGATATTTTATTTTTCTACTAAATGAGCCATATGCTAATTTTGGACATATGTTGTGCCCGGAATCCTTAAACCCACCCCTAAAGGTGGAGTTCCGAGATATCGGCATTTTACGTTTCTTCATCTTTCCAAGGCTATCTTGATATCAACAAAACAAGGTATAAGATTAGTCTTCCTACACCATAATCCTCTATCGTCTACCTGCATTCCGAAGTCTTGCAGACATAGCCAGCATGTAACGGTTTCTCAAAATCTTACGTATATTGCGGAGTGGTGGCAGTGATCTGGGGGTCTATAGGCCTACGTTGACCATTTTTAAAAATTTCTCAAATTTCAAAAAAAATCATACAGCCATTCTGATTTCATGTTGAATAGAAATATCTTTCTACTATTTTTGAGAAGTTGACCTTACTTTTTTCTTGGTGAATGTTTACCGAAGGTGACTATTTTAACACCCTAATAGGAGATTTTGAAAACATATGTCCCTTTTACAAGAACCACATGAAAATGTAAATCCTGATGGCACCATTAAATAGAACTATTATTCAGCTACAAAATGAGCCATAATACTTTAAAATCGGACCGAAAATACGTGTGCTATGCATAAAAATGTGAAGGACCTTACAATCGCGATCTTATTCATTATTATTATGTTTACATTTTACATGACAATTCATGTACAGAATACTTGTATTTGATATAATTATCTATCATTTACCTATTATTGATGATCTAGTGGGGTTTTACGTATAATATTTGTCGAAAGAATAACTTTTCTCCAGGCGGTCGGGTACCAAACGCATACTTTTCCACACGCGGCCGGGCCGTCCTGGACCATGAAAATCGTCTTTTTAAATCTTCGGAATAACTCTACGGGGTCACGTAGCCAAATTTCACTCTCAGACCCCGTGGAAAGACGAAAAACAATTACATGGCGATGTGAAAGTATGTATATAAGGTATATGAGCACATATAAATCATTTTTGTGTACCCAATGACCTTTTGTTTATTTATATTGTTACTTCCGTTTGTTTCTTTGTTGATTGTTTGTTTTTTTGTTAGTTTTTCTAATATTTCTAAAAGATATGAACACATTTTAACGAGATTTTAACCAAAGGTGAGTTTTAACTTAACTTGGACGCTTATTGCAGTTTTGTGGTGATGCGGACCATGGTTTGGATCCAGGATTTTTTTTTCTAACTCAAAAAGTTATGAACAGATTTGAATAAAATTTGTACCTGAGGTTTGTCTTAGCCTAATTAATATTTCATAAAATTTTGATCTGGAACATTTGGCAAAATCTTTTGCTCATAGATCAAACTATGTGTGATGAAAACATTTAAAAAAGAAAAAACAAGATAGAAATAACATATATCTAGTTATTTGTATGGAAAATTTCTTCATTATCGTTTTTTGGACGCTTGCCGGATTTTTAAATTATTCCGAAAAAAAGGTTGGTCTCATCCTATGTGAAATTTGATAAGCTTTCAGAAAACCTAATTTTTTTATTATCTCGAATCATTGCGTCACAACTGCCGATTTTCTAAGGTAACATTAAAAAATGAATATTTCAGTCGACATCGAAAATCGCTATCACCTAAAAAATAACGGTCGGGCCTTGAAATTTTCAGGGGGGAAACCTAGAAACTCCTTGAAATGCATTTAAGTCAATTTCGGCAAGAGGGGCGAAAAATCGACGAAAAATCACTAGGTCCCCGTAATAAAAAATTAAAAAATTACCAATTCATTTAGGGTAAACTAAAGAGAAGACCAAATGAACATCAAATATATAAAATATTAATGGATTTTTTTTGTGTGTGTGTGTGTGTAATTACATATGATAAGTATATGAAGTTGTTATTAATGAATATCTTACCAGTCATACAATTTAACCTTTTCTGCCCAACTTCGCTCCTGCTGCGAGACACTAAATTGTAGTACTCCTTGTATTGTTGGGTAGTACGAAGTGGCTTGGACAAAAAGCATTCAGAGATCTGGGGAGCCACTTCTTCCCAGGCCTTTGCTTTCATCTGACTAGTATTACCAGGCGAAAGTTTATCCTGTAATTATAAATGATAATTTGTAATGTAAATGTGGAATACACATCATATATTAACATTTCTCTTTCGTACTCACTCTCTCTCTCTCTCTCTGTCCCTCTCTCCCCTCTCTCACTCACTCCTCCTCCCCCCTTCTCTCTCTATCTCTTACTCACTCACTCCCTCCCAGTGTGTTTGTGTGTGAGTCAGTGAGTAAATTCTTACTAATTAAAATTAGATTTCTAATACATAAAAGGGACAACATTTTTGGCGTGAGAAAAATTCCGCCAAGAAATTAGGTTAGATCAGTCTCGATTAACTAAAATTTCGTATAATCGTTTCATATAAAATCGAATTTTAACCATGTACTCATTCATATAGATAATCTTGTATACAACAATGATGTGGCGAATATTAATTGTTCTAGCTCTGAGGACATAAAATTACACTCATTAGCAACTAAATCCGGATATACAGCCATATCCCTAGTCCTTCGCCATTGTCATGGTCACCGTATCGATGCGACCGTCGCAAGGTACCACGAACAATGACCATCAGGTATCCCTAGTCCCCCATCGAACGCGATCGCTTTGAATGACAATTACCAACCTATGCGAATTACACATGTAATTTGGAATTACGCAGTTACGAGGGATTTAAGCAGGTTTACATATAATGAAATTCTTGAGAATATATGATAGAACGCCAACATTAATATACAGTAATGCAAATAAACCAATTTGGTAATTATGTGAAATATATTTCTGATGATCGGTCGGTAAGTCGGAAGGAAGTAAACAAATTTCAGTCGCTGCCATGGAGTCAAAGGATCGTGCCCTGCCTCTCTCTCAGGCACAACTGGTGACCTTAATGAAGCTCGTGCGTGAGAAGGAGGCTATGATAAACGACAAGTCTACAGCCCCAGGTTCTGCAGTCAGGAAAAAAATAGCATGGCAGTCAATTGCTAACGCGTTTAACGCATGCAATCCCGACCAGAATCCTCGGACCGGATACCAGCTGTAGAGGAGTTTTGATCATGTAAAACGGAAATTAGTCACTAACGTAACAATTTTTATCACCATTATGCAAATTAGGCATTATATATAAATGTATAATTTTATATTTGATAAACACATGAACATTGCTAAAATCCCTGTTGGTTAATAATATAGATTAGGGGCCAGTGTCAAACATTTGTTTCCACACATCGTAAATAAAGAGAACAGAATATTATAATAGAATCATATAGATAAGTTAAATAACAAGGTAGAGATGTTCCTTTATCTTTATCTGAAGCAGTTTTATGTTGTATTTTTTATTAAGTATGTTTCTGTAATTATGAAAATAATTTTGGAAGCGCTGGTTCACATATATGATAAAGGTTTTATTATACAAACCATAAAATTAGATAAATCAAAAGTTTAATAAAGACATATATAGGGTGTAGGGTTGAGGGTGTGTACAGGTGGCCCACTACATGTTTCAGGGATTTACTTGAATCACAGTGAGGAAGACTTGAGGGATGAAATGGTACAGATTCAGGTACAGCAGATCTACAGTATACCTCTGCCTCGTGCTAATAGACCAGATATTTTCACGTGAAAGTGTAATATTAGTAGGATAACAGAATAAAAGAATTAATTTGAACTGGAAGCAATATTCTGACCCTTGCCCCCAAACTCTACCATAGATATTGATCATATAATGTGCTAATCTTGTATAGTAAATGCTTTTGTCACTGGGAAATTCTGTTCCCTAATAGCATTTTTATCATGTGCACTTAAAGATTAACCACTCGTTTTCTGTTTTGTAGAGTTAAACAAGATCAAAGCCAGTTCCGAAGAAATATATAAAAAACTGGCGGTGGCCCTCCTCCAAATCCTACAAGTATGAGTGAGGATATGCAGATTGCATCTTTGATGATGGAAGATGAGCTGGCAATGGGTGATGGCGTTACAGAAACTCTCGTTTTCGAGCCAGTGAAGGACAGTTGGCAGGGTAAGTAACAAAATGAGCAGTGTTAGTGTTCAAAGGAACAAACTGTTTTGATGGCATGTTTATTTGCTCTTTGTATCTATCTATTAATATTATATATATATATATATATATATATATATATATATATATATATATATATATATATATATATTATACATGTATACACGTATATCATTTTTTTCATTTTCCTTTTCAGACACTGTGGTTTATACTTCGCAGCCAAACAATCAAGAAGCTTCCACCTTATCATCTTTCTGCACTGAGCCTACGCCCAGGATGACGGTTTGCGCCTACACCTTCCCCATCTGCCATTAGTGACCAGACATCACAAGAACTGCATGCTGTTCCAAGACTTCTCCCTTCACCTCGCGCCACACCTTCTCCAACTCCAGGTCCCAGTTCCGGAAGCCCCTCTTGCCGAAGTTGACTTTAATACATTTTCAAGGAGTTTCTAGGCCCCTTGTTCTCCTCTGAAAATTTCAAGGCCCGACCGTTATTTTTTAGATGGTAGCGATTTTCGATGACTGAAATATTTTTTTTTTATGTTACCTTACAAAATTGGCAATTGTGACGCAATGATTAGAGATAATAATTTTTTAAAATAGGTTATTTTCTGAAAGCTTATCAAAATTCACGTAAGATGAGACCAACCTTCTTTTTTCGGAATTTCAAAAATCGGGCAAACGTTAAAAAAACGACAATGAAGAAATTTTCCATACAATTAACTGAACATGTGTTATTCATATGGTTTTTTTTATGTTTTCATCATACATAGTTTGATCTATGAGCAAAACATTTCGAAAATGTAAAATGGAAAAAATTATTAATGGGGGGGTAGTTTTGCCAAATGTTCCGGATCACCACCAAAATTTTATGGAATATTAATTAGGCTGTTCATAACTTTACGAGTTATAAAAAAAAGTCCAGGATCCAAACTATGGTCCGCATCACCACCAAACTGCAATAAGCGTCTAAGGTTAAAACTTACCTTTGGTTAAAATCTCGTTAAAATGTGTTCATAACTTTTAGAAATATGTGAAAACACAAACTAACAAACAAAAACAAATAAATAACAATCAACTAACAAAGAAACAAACGGAAGTAGCAATATAAATAAACAAAAGGTCATGGGGTACACGAAAATTATCTATATGTGCTCATATACCTTATATACCTACTTTCACATCGCCATGTAATTGTTTTTCGTCTTTCCACGGGGTCTGAGAGTGAAATTTGGCTACGTGACCCCGTAGAGTTATTCCGTAGATTTAAAAAGACGATTTTCATGGTCCACGACGGCCCGGCCGCGCGGGGAAAAGTATGCGTTTGGTACCTGTCCGCCTGGAGGAAAGTTATTCTTTCGACAGATATTATATGTTTTAAAAAACCATTAGAGCATCAATAATAGGTAAATGATAGATAATTATATCAAATACAAATATTCTGTACATGATTTGTCATGTAAAATGTAAA